GATGAATAAACAGCACTTAAGCACAAATGGAATAACTCAGTGAAGTCATCCATTTTTTATTATTATATTATTGTTATAACCTTGAACTGATGTAAAATATCTACATACTTACATCTTACACCATGTTGAACTTTTACAAATTGCTTGAAACATTAAAAGAATACAGCTGTTCCAGTACACAGTTTTTCTCTGCTAGACAGGAGCCTTTAGCCTGGATCCACAGAATCAGAGGATTATACAGATTGGCTGAGGTTGAAAGGCACCTCTGGAGGTCATTGTGTCCAATCCCTTGTTCAAGCAGGGTCACCTAGAGCTGATTGCCCAGGACTGTGTCCAGACAACTTGTGAATATCTCCAAGGACGGAGACCATGACATCCCTGGGAAACCTGTGCCAGTGCTTGGTCACCCCCACAGTAAAGAAGTGCCTCCTTAATTCATAATTAACAAAATTATTTTTGCTTAGACAAGCTAAATTTTATCCTTTTTTTTTTTATCCCTATCATTTCTTGAATAATTTCACATCTCTGGTTCATTTTTACTAAAGCTTGACTGAGCAGAAAGGTTTCACTCATATTAAACCCCTCCAAGTTTGTGGAAAAAAAATTGATCATTTTTAACAAAGGACAGAGTTGACACAAAAACAAAGAAAACAAACATTAGGAAACATGCAGAGTATGAACTTTTAAGACACAGATTTAAACAGACTTTGATGGACTGACTGTTGAAGAAACCATTAGTAACATATACAGATTGGCTAATGGTGATTTAAACAAATCAATGTTATATTAGACAGCAGCTAAACAAAAAAAGTTTAAGATGAGAAACTGCAAACATGCACCAACTACTACTAAAAGAACTTCACTCATTTAACAAATAGCCATTGTTACAACTTTAAGCCCAAAGCCATCCCAGGTACAAGACATAAAATTTGATGCCTTTACATTGCTGAAGTTTGATCTCAAAAAACAGTTCTCAACCATAAATATCAAACCACTCTAAGAATAAATCTTCACATGTATCTGGTATAGGACCATTAAATGACCTTTAAATATACTTCAGTACAACAGTAAATCAGAAGAAACCATCCTAGTTTTGTTTACAGGGACTGAGACATTTAACAGTCATTTATGTTTACAGCAATCAAAGCTTAAGGTATACTACAGAAACAATATTCAAAGGAATAAAAGTAGTATACCCAGAATACTTTGCATACAACTTATATCATAATATTTATTTTCTTCTTCCATCAAATCTCTAAATTGCAAATGAGTGTGCTTCACTTGCCCCAGAAAGAGGGAAAATCCAAGTACAGCAATTGCATCAAACATTTCCACAGTAGAGGCATGTCCTTAATATGAGATTTTTGAAGACTTGTTTCACTTTGGTAAGAGGAAAAAAAAAGTAAAAATTGAAAATTTTTCATATTTTTTTTACTCATAGAATACTTTTAATCTCTAACCCTCCAAGAAGACTACAAAAAGAAAGGAATAGAAATCATAACCCCAATCCATAAATACACTATTCACAGAGGAAGGAAGCAAAACATTTGTTCTTGCTTTTTTGATATTTATCAATATATGCTTCATGTCAGCAAGTAAATGTACTTACCTTTAGCTAAATCCTCCTCTTCCTTTTTGTTGGCTACTGTACCAGGATCTTTGGCAACTAGAGCTGGACTTGCTTTTGCCTGTTCAGCAGCCTAGCCAAAAGTGAAAGATGTAAAAATAAATCCAACAAAAAACTGACAATGCATTAAGTTCACCATTTCAATTTGTATTCATCTGCAATATAAAAATCTAAGGTAAGTGAGAGCATTTCACTCCTCAAGGAAGTTTTATTAAGACAAGAGAGTTTTCATTTTTTTGCCAAGTACATTCTAGAATCCAAGACTACAAACCGTAAAATGCAGAGCTGAGCATAAAAAGAATTTGTGATACCCTTTGAGAACAACCACAAAAATCTAATGTACCTGTGAACCAATAGCTGGGAAAGTAACTCCTTGCTCCTTAAGATTTTTTATCATAGCAGATATTAAACTAAGTTGTGGGTCATTCTTGAATTCATCAGTCCATTCCACCATAAGGGCTTTCAGCTTTTCACAAACTTTTGGATGACCCTGCATGGACAGTAGAAACTAGTTAAATAATGTAGAAATTGGTTCTTAATTTCAAGTACTTTCATCTTAGTTCAGTATACACCATATAGACACTTTCTTTCACAGTCAAGTTTAGCACTCAAAGATATCTTTATTAGAAAGGGAGAATAGTACACCAGCATCATATTTGTATTAGTACAATAAGAGCTAGGCCCAAAATAAAGTAAAATAAGGTTACATTGAAGCCCTGTATTATCTCCATTTCACATTTGTATTTAATGTTTCACTGCTGTCATTTAATGAGAAAAAGGAATTAGTTTATTTATAAATTAACACACCACACCTCCCCCAAACAGAATACCTAGGTAACTACTGTGAAGTGGCATTCAGGAAGTTCTTTCTGAAAGCCACAGTCTTCACAGTAATCCAGGCTTACCCCCCTCCCCCAGCCGCTTTCCAGTCTTCCAAAAGTAGATCCCATTCCACTTTAAGATTAACCCAATTCTGATTTCACTTAGAGATGAAATGTATAAATCAATGCAATACATTACCTTATTCAACACATTGCTTACTTCACTGGCAAAATCTCTTGAACAGACTTCTAAATGAAAGATTTTGCCACAGTTTGATACACATGCTCCTAGAAGCTAACAAAAGAAAGATTAAAACTCAGATTTGTGCAATATAACTTTCCAGGAAAAAAAATCCCTACATCAAAAAGAACCTACCGTTAACGCTTGCATAGCAACATGAGGATCTTTATGGTTCACCCTCTTCATAATAGAGCGAAGACAGTCTTTAGGTCTAAAAAACACAAGATATTTAAAAAAATGTAATGGAATGAACATTTTCTATTGCATACATGACAATGTTGATGACTTTAGCAGACAGTAAGATCTCCTGAACATTGTCAGTTTAGTAGCTTGTAAGTGTAACATAAAAAAAATAAACTAACACCATTAACAGTTGCAGCCATTTCTATCTGTAGGATTTGTAGCCTTCTTAGTGACCAAAACCTCGCAGTAATTTATGTTACCTTTTGTACTTAGAGAGAATTACTGTAAATACTCCAGAAATGCATAAAATCCCTTGCAATTAGATAACTGAAATTCTCTGCAGTCCATGCACCTACTCCTTTATATTTCATACACATATGTAAGAATATTTCCTTACATACTGATTTACCAACACCCTTTTGCTACTTTCATTTTGAATTACCACCACTATGTTCCTCAGCCTCTTTTAATGTACAGAATAACATTTATAAAGACATGCAATGAACCAACAAGTTCTAAAAAAACCTGTCAGACATTCTACAAAGTTTCTAAACAATTAAATACAGAATTCAGGTCTTACTTATATTGCGGTAGATAGAAATAACATAATAAAAAGCAACTTCAAGAAAGAATTTGAAAGGGAGTTTCAGACAGTTTAGTGTACTAAAATCTGTGTGACTTTCTGTTATTTTATTCTGGCTTTAAAGGTAGTGGAAAGCTAAGCAAGGCTGGGTTAGGAATTATCATGGGCATACAAGCATTATTTGGTGAATAGCCCTGAAAAGATAAACCTGAAGGAGGGTAAGTAGGGAAAGAGGAAAAGAGAAGGAAAATCTAAACTAAGAGGTTTTACACATCAAGGGTCTTTTTCGAAGCAGAAGTATTTTCCTATTGAACTGGTATCCAAGAACTAACATGAAACTTAGGTATAAGTTACACCACTGCTTGGCTATACTATATTTGGCAGTGTCTACATTTTACAGAAATGTCCACCTCATATTTAGTGGTACTAATTATAGAAAATGCTGTCATGCAGCATGAGTACATATCATTCAGTGTATACCTTCATATAACCAATTATTAGAAATGAAGGCTCTAAGGCAAGTACTACCTTTTAACTATTAATTATGCAAGATTTCTCACATGTTTGCTTTAACTGAGAAAGAATACATGCTAAAATTTTCAGAAATAACTGCTATTGTAACCATTAATTTATGAGTAGGATTGATGTGATGAGTACAAGTTCAAAAAAAAGCGTCTCCATTGTAAAGCCAGTATTTATAAAGGTAGGGTGCAGGATCAAGAGCTTAGCAGTTCAGGAGCAGGACCATCAGACTAAGATTTTTTTACTAAGGAATCCAAAGTCTTATTAAAAGGAATAAAGTAACAAAGCCTCAAAGCCAAATGATTATCCACATGTGTTAAATATAATCTACTTGCTCATATATTTAACAGAAATGATCAATACTTGAGTGTTTAATATTTTAACATGCTCGAATGTTTAAAATAAGAAAACTTTTGATTACACCTACATAAAAAAAATAATCCAAGCTTACCAATGTTTAGTCAGAGTAAGAAAACCTATTCTAGACAGAACTGTAATCCTTATTTTTACTTCTAATTAACTCATCATACAATTTAGTGTGTAAATTATGAGAAGCACTATGTAGAAAGCACAGGAAAGCATGCACTCTATGAGTATAGAATTCAATCTACTTATTAGCACCTATCCAGACCATACTATACAAACACTGGGCCACAGTTCTGCTCCAACAATTCTATAATCAAAATTTCAGAGGCACCACAGTGAGTAGGAATAACAAATCAGTAGGGCAAAAATATGGCAAGATACAATAGAAGCTATGTATCATATATGATATCACATACTAATATATCCAGAAAATATTCACAATAAATTTCAGGTTTAGTTTTAGAAAGTTTAAAAAAAAAAAAATCAAGCTGATACGTTATTTAACAAAGACAAGATTAGCAGCAATTGCAATCTAAAATACTACTGTGCAAAAAACATTTCATGTATTTTCAGGAATTTATTGTTCATTTATGGTCTAAGTTAACTGATTGTGGTGCTCAGCACTACACAGGTGACTCAATTTTCCTCCTTGCTCCTTCAGAAACAAGCTAGTTAAAAAGCTTCCTGGTCAGCCTGTGAAAGATACACTGCCATGACTACATAAAATGCTACTGAGATTGTGTAATTTGAGGGGGAAAAAAAATAGAAGGTACCTTGGAAAACTATCAAGTAAGCAATTTTGCTGTTCTCTCTTGCATGAACAGGCACAAAAACAACCAAAGAAGAAACAGCTAACCAGAATACTGGCTCACTGAGGCAGTGATTAATCCTTAAGGAATCAGGACAAAGTTAGGCAAACAGCAATACAAACCATTTCTCAATGACAATTTTCCAATACCTACCCTCAAAAGAGAGTGCTGCAAAGAACATTTCTATTTTAACCACTGATGTATTCCCACTGATTTAATTTTTTTTCAGCCATCTTTTTTTTTTTTTATTAAGTAACTTTTCTGGAGAAAAACTCAAGTTGTGATAGTTTCAAACATGTAGACTGATACGTCTCATGAAATAAATATAAATGGTACAACAATCTCAAAGCCAAATGCAAACACAATTAGAGTTAGGAATTGGCTAGCACTGAACTGACTGAGGAAGGGAGGACACCTTATGCTAAAATATACTATATGTGGCCTTTAATTTTTCCTTTTATTCTGTTTAATGAATCATTCAAATTTTACAATGTTATTTTATTCTGAGCTGATAAACTATAGATTCAGTTGTGTAAGCATTTTCATTGCAGAAAAGTAACATTATGCAAAAATCTATACCTTTCCTGTAGTCAGATTTAAAATGTTACTCAAATATAGAATCATAGAATATCCTGAGTTGGAAGGGACCCACAAAGATAATCAGAGTCGAGCTCCTGTCCCTGCACAGGACAGGCCCAAGAATCACACTATGTGATTAAATTTTTTAAAATAAGCAAGTTTTCAATAATGCTGTACAAAAACAAGGGGGGAAAATATTGCCTCTAATGGTAAAAGTTTTGTTTTAATCATGTTTCCATGTTGAAAGAGCAACTTGCTCACTGAGCTAATAATGCCAAAAAAGCAGGATGTAAACGATGTGATATGCAACCACAGAGCTGTATGAGTTGCTAAAACAATTCAGAGATTAAAAAACTGTGTTGATTTTCTCATAGATAAATTTTAGATCATCTCAACTGATATGTGAAACATGCAGAAAGTATCAAGTTAATTCTACACTACATATGGCAATATTCTATATACACTATTGTAAGCAAATCTCATTGTTAAAAATATTACTGCATTTTCTGTCTTTCCTGTGTTTTCTACAAAAATTCTGATATCAACTTTAACTGATTTTGAAATTCACCAAAACTAGAGAAAATAGTCAGAGAGGGATTCAGTGGAATTCTAACTTGCCAAAAACCTGTCTTGGTTGGATTAAAGGAAGCAACTTAACATTTTCAGCTATTTGCAATTCTGCATAAGAAAAGTATTACAACATAAAAATTAATAGTAGCATTTCTGTTACTCTGCAACTAATTTATCTTAAGAGAAAATATAGCACCTTTGTAGAGTAACAGGTTTCCAACAATTCATCTGGATACAAAGAAGCCTGCAGACCTAAATGAGACAATGTGCCATACAGCACTGGGGGATGTGCTACTTAATGAACAACAGTCCTTGTAGTCTACTGTGGCTTCATGTGTGAGACAATCCATATCTAGAAGGCTGCAGGCATGCAATGAAGCTTACGGACTGGTACAAGGAAAACCCATAAAGCAGATTTTGTAATCTAAACTTCTGCCAAAAACCAGTAACAGGCAGCTTGTACCGGAGCAGAATTGGTTAAAAGATTAAAGCCAATCCCAGTTAAGAAGACTAGCATCCTTGTCAGAAGAACTTAAACTGCAGGAGAATTTCAAACAGCTAAGCACAAGTTATTTAAACCTCTTAATAGGGAACAGTGTCTTGCTTTACCTTGCTATGGCATGACATAATCCATCAAAACAAAGAAAACCAACTATCAGCAAGTTTTAACAGAATCTGAATTTAAGCAACAAGTCAGCTGGCAGCCTATTTTAAGCAGGGTAAATATTACAGAGGTTAAGTCCCACTTTTATTTTAAAAACAGTTTTATTTAAAAAAAAAATCAAAACAGAAAAACACAAAGGAAAAGACCAAACCCAACACAAACGAACCCCACAAATTGTAACAGGGATTGAGCTGCAGGGATTTACCAGAAGATCTCCAGCTTTGTCTGTACTGCTGTCTCTTGCAGCTACTCACATTTGAGCACTGTTCAGGCTGTGTTGCTGTGAGACTAAATCTCGCCTGTGGAAACGCTTTCCATGATTAAATAGAATACTGAAGCCTTCAATAGCATAGTTACTGTTACAGGCTCAGCATCAACATGCACAAGGAAGAGAAATGCAGTTTTACAAACATGAAACATCATTAACAACTTGCCAGTTCTTATCTTAACTACAGTTATACACAACAGCACAGAAGTCTCAATATGCCATGCTATTTGTAAGACCATCTCTAATTCCAAGGAATAAGCTTTTTGTCCTTTGGAACAAAAGTCTCAGGTGGGAATTTGCTGTCTGGCATCTCATACTGTTTCTCACAGTTTTACACAGCAATCCAGGTTCTTCTCAGAGAAGCCTTTCACTAAACAGCAGCAACAGCAAGACATTTTTTTTTCAGTCTGTTCCTTACCCAAATTGCTACAGGCAATGCTTCGAGAAGGTGTATTTAAAACTTTTCCAAAGACTAATACTACAGTGACTACAAACACTATAGATACACAGAAATCATGTCTTTAAACTGTATTTTTTAGTTACTAGCTCAAATTACACTTTAACTTTCCTTGTCCAAAAAGCAAGTTCATGTATAAACTTTATGAAACAGCTCAGTAAAGAATGAATAACGGAAACATTAGTGGCCCGTATTAAGATGTGTTTAATTTAATATCACATTTTCAAAATGTAAATTTATCAAAGCCCTGATGTCAGAGAATAGCTTTGGAAAATAAGGGGAAGAAACACAAAACCTCATTTTTTCCTGTGACAAAGACACTGGTAGTCTGGTGGTGAGGACAATGGAAGGGCAGCAGATGTTTTATACCCCGGGTTTAGCAAAGTTTTGACATACAGTTGAAGGCCTTATAGTCTCCTTATCACACAACTGGTGAAATATGGGGTGTATAAAATGATGATTATAAAGTAAGCGGAAAACTGGCCTCCTAAGCTCAAAGAGTTGTCACCTGTGGTGCAAATTCCAGGTAGCAGGCAGTACCTAGTGGGATCCTTCAGGGATTTCTGCTGGGACCAACACTGCTCTCAGCAACTTACTGACCACAGCAAAAGGAAGGGGAACATTCAATATACTGGAGGGTAGGGCAGAGGGACCTCGAGAGGCTGGAGAAATGGACAGACTGGAACTTCGTGAAGTTGAACAAGAACAAGAGTAAGATGTTGCATTTTGGGTGGTCTGCTCCAGCAAAGGTAAGGAGCTGACCACCTGAAAACTAGGAAAGGATCTGTGGGTCGTATTGGGCGACAGGAGTCAGCAAGTGCAGCCTAGCAGCAGAAAAACCAACCATATCCTGGGTCAAACTAGTGGTCAGCACAGCCAACAGGGCCAGGAAAAGTGATCTTTCTTCTCCATTCTGCATCTGGAGCACTTTGTCTAGTCTGGGACTCCCCAGTGCAGGAAGGCTATTGATGCATGACCATGAGCCCAATGGATGGCTGCCAGGATGGCCAGAGCAGGTCACATAGAATCACAGAATCGATTGGGTTGGAAAAGACCTCCGAGATCATCGAGTCCAACCTTTGGTCCAAATCCAGTCCATTTACTAGATCATGGCACTCAGTGCCACGTCCAATCTGCGTTTAAAAATCTCCAGGGATGGTGAATCCACCACCTCTCTGGGCAGCCCATTCCAATGCCTGATTACTCTCTGTAAAGAATTTTCTCCTGATATCCAACTTAAATTTCCCCTGGCGGAGTTTAAGCCCGTGCCCCCTTGTCCTATTGCTGAGTGCCTGAGAGAAGAGACCAACCCCCACCTGGCTGGAACTTCCCTTCAGGTAGTTATAGACGGTGATGAGGTCACCTCTGAGCCTCCTCTTCTCCAGACTAAACAACCCCAGCTCCCTCAGCCTCTCCCCATAGGACTTATGCTCCAGTCCCTTCACCAGCCTTGTTGCTCTTCTCTGGACCCGCTCCAGCACCTCAATATCCTTTCTGAACTGAGAGGCCCAGAACTGAACACAATACTCAAGGTGTGGCCTCACCAATGCAGAGTACAGGGGAAGGATCACTTCCCTGGTCCTGCTGGCCACACTATTTTTGATACAGGACAAGATCCCATTGGCCTTCTTGGCCACCTGGGCACACATCCAAGGAGAGATGGAAGAGCTGTTTTTGTTTTTGGGAAAGGCAGACTGCTTTCTACAACTAACTAATCAGAGAATACATAGAAGTATAAGAAAAGTGTAATCAGACTGCAGAATTAATTTTTTATTTACTTACTTAGTAAGTAGTAGTAGTAGTTAAATACTGAAACATGTTGCCCATAGGAGTTGTGAAACCTCTGACCTTGGAGGCATTCAAGATTCGACACGGTCCTGAGCAACCTGATCTAATTAGACCTGGTTGAAGCTGGGAGGTTGGACTAGATGACCTCTGGAGGTCACTTCCAACCTAGATTATGATTCTGTAAGAAAAATCCCTTATGAAGTCTCCTGGGTTTACGGTGACACAACTAAAACATATCAGTTTATTTATTCTGTTACATCAGTGAAAAGCTGCTGTACACAAGTCCTAATTTTAACAGATCACCTAGTATCTCCAAAGGAAGAACTGCAAAACATTTCAGCAGAAACTCCATATATTTTCCTTTTAATTGTAATAAATTTAAGTTAAATTGAGTTGTTGCAAAAGACTACAAAAGATAACAAAAATTTCATTCCTCACCTGAGTGTGAGGAAAGTTTGGGGAGGAAATTCTTAAGTTACTTACCCTGTGCGTGACTGTCCAACTTTATCACAGATGTCTAAGATGAGGCCCCAGTCTTCTGCAGTGTTCATCTCACTGGTTGCTTTCTCTGATGAATAAAGTATAAGCAAATCAAACCACAAATTTAAACAAAAAAACCCTTATTGTCAACAAATATGTTGAAATATTACCTCTGTGTATACTGTTAAATATATGACAAAACCCTATATTTAATAAAATTCATATATTAGCACTATTATACCTAATTCTTTTTAATTTTTGAATGTTCACTTGTGGCCATGAGTTTCAACTAATGAGCAAATATATTTTGGGTTTGTTTTCGCACATAATAAAGATGCACCCAGAATATGACACAAATAGTTTAGCTACCAACAAATTTTTTCTTCAATTTGAAACTATAAAGTTTAATAGGATATGAATACCCAAAGTATCAGTTCACTGCAGAGTCAGATACAACTCAATTTGTCACTTTCTCAGACACTAAATGGCTACATCTCGCATTTCCTTTCTACATCTTACAACTCAACAAGGAGGATTTAACAATTCACTAATAATCATTAAACTTTTATCTCCCCATTCTCATCTCTGCTTTGGATGATATATTCCACTGTTTCTTTTCAGCTATAAGGACTGCTAAACCAAAACTAATCTCATAGAAGCTGCTGAAGAGGAAATAAATAGAGAGAGTAGGTGGAGAAGAAAAAGATTTCATGTCAGGAAAAAAAAAAAAAGAGAGACTCTCTCCCTATTTCTCCCCCAGAAAAGCTTAGTTACACCAAGGATAATAATAACTAAAAATGTTAAAGGAAACTGAGGTTTACACTGCAGTTGAATAGAAGATTACCTAAATACTGACAGATCAGATGAGGGCTGGAGAGCATAAGAGAATGCACAAGGATTTTCCATTAGTAACAAAACAGAAGGTGAATGGGCATAGAATAGTGCACAAACTTCTGCTTCCCATCCCTGCTTCATCTAAGGTTCACATGTTAATCTACAGAGCACAAAATATGCCTTCAGTGAATGTCTCAGACTACTTAACTTTTTAAAAGGAAGGAAAGATTCCCTATAAAAACTCATCTGTCAGGAACAAGACATTATTTATATTAGCACTTGCAAGCTTGCAAAGAAGAGAAAGACAAAGCAAAACAACTAATCTCTAAAAATTACAAGGAATTATTCATCTCAAAGTTAATGGATTTCTTATGAATGAGTTCCTGTGTCTTACAAACTGAAGTATGTTATAGTTAATTAGTTTCTTAATTCCGAACAAAAACGCAGAAAAGTAAAACTTCATGGTTATGTGCTCTCAAAGTATTTCCGAGCAAAAATTAAACACTGACATATATGCAACTGAAATGATAACACATCAGTTGTGCTGCATGATGCAAGGAAAACAGCAAAACAGTATAGTGAAATCCTAAATGGAAGTTAGTTACAATTCAGTATGTTCTCTCAGATAAAGTAATAGAGCACTGCCTCTTCTCTCTAAACTCATCTAGAACATTAATTTGATTTCAAAAAGCATAGTCAACAGAAACATGAAAAATTATAGGTAGACACCATACTAACATCTAGCACGAAGACAGACCAGCTGATCAACCAATCACAATTTTTCTTTCAGTCTGCTATTGTTCCAAATCATGCTTATGATTAGTAAAGCTAACAATCGCAATCACTGAAATTCTTGATGTTCAGATAAGACACCTGAACTGAATGCCTGGCAGAGCCATCACAGGCCAAGGCAGTCTTCTGAAATCATAGTCTATGCACACAGCAACTGTACTGTACACAGTCTATGCACACAGCCAGCATCAACTCTGGAGCATCAGAACTGCTTTTATGAGACACAGAGCCTGAGCTGGCTAGAATGCACTCCCCACACTGAAAACAGCTGATAAGCACAGTCCAGAGACACACAGAACAGACCACATGGATGCAGTTTACTTTCAGGACTCAATTGATTCAGTTCGTTTCCAGTTCTGCTGGAGCTGGACCAGCTCCAGTCAAAGTGTGTCTGCACAGTGCTCTCGACAGCCTTAAGTTCCCGCCAGGCTCAGAGCTCACACATGGAGCCTCACAAAACCACACTGGTCACTTCTGCCTAATGCTGCACTTCAGTTAGCACATCCTTCAGCAGAGAGCTGGGCAATCCAGCAGAACCAAAACCTTTTCAATTATTCTACATAACAGACAGTTGTCTGTATTTTTGACAACAATTGATCTTTCTTTCCTCACAGTGTTATCAGAGAGAAATGTCATGGCAATTGGTTATGTCTTCTACAAACAAAGAAGTAAACTAATGCATGCTTAATGTTTTAAGATAACAGCAAATTGTGCCTTTTATGATAATTTAAATACTTTGGCTAAAACTACAAGTAAGATGGAGACCAATGAAATCCCTGACCCATATCAACCACACTGATTACAGCCCTTATTTTAATTCTCAATAAGATTATTTTGCAAATTTATCCATGAATATAATTACAAGTTTTCTGCCATGGCTACATTCCTTCTTGGCAGTTGAAGCTAGTTCTATATAAAAACTGCCATTTGCTTGCAATGCCTTCCCCATTGTTAGTCAGGGTATTTCCTCCACCAACAAACACTGGATAGTTTCTTACTAGATTCCAGCCTGAAACCCAGTTTCTTTGTATACATTCTGTCTTCTGTAATAACAATCATACATTAATTCCCTTAGATAATAAAATTCATGGTAAGACATGACGAAAAAAAATTGCCTCGAATTTCAGTGAAATACTGTCTCAAACAAGAGCAATTAAAAGCTAATGGCATACTGAGGATGTTATCAGCACAGTGATGCTACAGTGATGCTGACTGTCCACAAAAAAGGCTACTATCTCTATCAGAGCATTGGCAAGTGACTATTGCCTTTCACCACTCTGGGAACAGGAGCAACAAAGACGCTTTGACAAAATTCCTATGATGCATCAGTGTTTTGTAGACAAAAGTAGGAAAGCTACTGAAGTAAAATTACTTACACTATTATCACTTAAAATCCATGAATATTCTCTCTTCTAACGTGAGGCACACATTCACAGCCCAAAACAAGTTTATGTGAATTCAGTATTTGCCTACTCTAACAGCTGGCACACTCCCAGCCTTCAGGTACAGCTGACATGTCACTGGCAGACTCTACCTTAGTACTGAAATGGACTGTGATAGGGAAGGAAAAACAGACATTTGTTTTCAAAGTCTTAGGACAGGTTAGCACAGCACCCAGAAGATAACTTAAGGAAGAAATGTTCTTCATCTTCCATCTCTGATCAAAAATAACTCTACCATAACAATATTAACATTTAGTTCAGGCTCTGTCCCTCCACCTCATCCTTGCTTCAAAATCTTACTCAACTTAGTGAATGCCAAGACAGGATCAGATAATGTCTCAAACTTTGCAAAAACAACTTTAAAAGACAGTGCTAGTTCCTGAAATCAGCATTCTTCAAAACCTGTTAATGCTATGTCAAACACAAAGGACAACAGGACTACGTGACACAGCTCTCTTCCATGAAGCTGTACTAATTCAAGGCATTGTTTTCTGAGCACAAGCAAGGCCTACAAATTAACATAGTAATTTTAACCAGTGCAAGACTGTAAAATCTTACACTGTGTCATATTAATTTGTAGTAATTAATAGTCATTATTAATACTAACTACTATTAAGACTAGTTAGTAAAATAGTAGTTTTACATTTTTTCAACTGACCTTTTTCCTTGGTTTTTTTTTGTTCATTTCATGTCTTCATTTCTTACCTTTATTTTTCTAGAAGTTATTTAATATTATTTTCTTACAAGCAATACCACAAAGATGGATAGACAAAATGGTAAGCGCTATCATTTCAGAGGAAAACAATACTTGGATCTATGGGTTCTTTGGTCAAACACAACAACAACAATCCTGAACAATATAAGAATACCTTTCTAAATAACTTCAACAATTCATTTAATCCCTGAAACAAAAACAAGACACACAAAAATAACTATCACACTTTTCAGCCACTTTGCAAGGCACAGTGTGTGGGATCAGGAGGCCTCTCCCTTTATACTTCTCTATTCAGAACACTAACCATACTGAGCTAGACCAATTCCATCTTGCCCAACATTCAGTCTCTAATACATATATTATACCTAAAGCAGATGCCTAGGAAAACAAAAAAAGAATAAGGTAAGCATTAGTTGTACTTCCCTACCAACACACCTTTCTGTGACCAACAATTTGCAGCTTCGTAACTCCTGAGTCAGAACTGGTGCTCCAACCACACAAACACCGTCATAAATCACATAGAGAACAAATAATTAAGGAAGTATTCTAAAGTAAAACGTGTCTATGACAGAAATCTTGGCTGTTTTTGTATCTTTGAAGTTTTTCAATAGGAAATAGAACCATATGTTTGGAAGAATAATTTCGGCATTTTAAATCTGTTACAACATTGTAAACACCACAGAATTAATAAAAAAAAATAAAAAATTCAACACTCCCCTCAGCCTTCTCTCCTCCATTTCCACTGAAAGTCTTGTTTCCTTTCCAAGATTAAATAAATAAATAAATAAATAAGATTAAATAAATAATTTCTCCTTCTCTATAAAATTGCAATACTAAAATACCAAAGCAATATAGTTTAAATAGTCCTTAAAGACTAAAACTGAGTGCACATTTTTCTTTTTTTTGCAGGCACTTGTTGAGAAATTTGGATTACATACCATTCCACATCACTGAAGTCAAATGCCATTAAATTCTGTTCTTTTTGTCTGTCAAATAAAATGAACAAATGCATTTGTTGGCCTGTTCTACAAAAGCCACCAATAGAATATTAACCACTCTGCATTTCACTAACATGCTCAGAACTGCACAAGAAGAATACATCCAACCAGATTCCATCTAGACAAGATTGAAAATAACCTCTAAAAGGCAATGCCACCATAGAGAGAAACTAGAATTCCATGAATCATTAACTTGGCAAAGCTATTAACCAACTTCTGCAGTTTAACTGTATCCTCATCTACAGTATTCCTAAGAAGTCCTTATGGAAACCATTGCAGAAGGTGTCCTATGAAAGCACTGCTGGCTGATCCAAGGCAAAGCAAGCAGCAGTGACTGAGCTGACATGAGGCCACCTCAACTCATTCCTTCAGAAGACCATGTAGGATCTCACTGTGCATGAGGCAGCCTATCCAAAATAAACATCATTCAACTCAGTAAACTGAGGAGAATGAAGACAAAAGATTCAAGATCTGGGAAGACAATGTTGAAATAATAAAACCAGCTGAGCAAAAATAATTTAGATGTTTAGATATCGCATGCAAACCCTAACAAATCCACAGAACTCAAACTACCTTTCACCTAGAAATATTACAACAGAGCAGGAAGGTGAGCACATTAGAGATACATGAGGAGGATGATCAGCCTGTAAACAAGGTGTAGCACAGGCATGTTATACTAATAAATAGTGCCAGGATCTCTTTGCAATGCCCCACAAATCAAGCCAAAAGCAGAAGGAGCATTTCAGAAGATCAGCAGGAGAGTTAACTTTTCAGATCAGGTAAGTAGTGTTATTTTAATCAGTTAGAGGAACAGATTTTACATGTTGTAGATCTACTTTGATTGTTCTGAATTTTGATATTATAATGCACACTGTCACAGCTGAAATGAGGAGAAGCACTTAAAGTGACAGCTCTTCCCTGGGAGGAAAGAAAGAGAATTACCAGGAAAGTACTGGTTTTGACTATGAAACATACTGTGTTGGCTTCAAAGTGCCCAGCTGAACTCAGTCTGGTGGTAGTGAATGTTTTGTTGGCTGATATACAGAAGGGGTATTTCACTCAGTTTTATCCTGTCCCATTGCCACTTTTCACTGAGAACATACACCAAAGGTATCTTTTAGTAAGTAGTTCTTGTTTTTCATAAACATTTATAAATAACTGAAAAGGGGGGTGGCTATAGCTCCTTTCCCACCCATTTTCTACTCAGTCTCACTGCTAGTTTACAGTTAATGTCCTTCTTAAAACAATGCTGAGAAAAGCAGTGGGCCAACTTAGGCAAAAATGTGCCTCATGACAAACTGAACCAATCCTTGGAATTCACCTTCCCTTGCAGCCAGCCCTTAACGCAGTCTGCAGTCTCCATAACTGTCTGGGGTCAGAAACTCATCTGCAACAATGTACCCTCCTTTTGGCAAACCCGTAAGGGAGAAAATCCAGCTCTCAGAGACATGTAACTGGATTGTTTTGAAGATGTTGACTAACTAAGGGGAGAAATCTAAAGAATAATGAGTTTAAACAGCAAGAGGATTTTATTTCAAGAAATTGCACAATGGGAATCACGGTCAAACCATTTCTTACATTCTAATAACATCAAACTATAGGCTGGTCATATGTACAATCACATGTAATTCATGCATATTATAAATATCTGAAGATTTGTAAGCATAATATTAACAACAACTGCTATAGTTAATAAAACATGGGAAAAAGATTGCAAGTCATATCAGCTTGACAGTTCTACTACATTACTAAACTACCCACTTAATTTCCTATTACTATAAATAGTAAGCCTGAATTTCTTCCCACTCCTGTGGTGCCTCAAACCATTACACTGAGAACTACACTAACATCCAAAGCAAATGCAAGTACTTTCATCCTTTACTGTGTGTTAGGGAGAAAAAAATTCATACAAAAACACATGTTTTTTAAACACCTCCTCTTAAGATCACGTGTGATTTTTATGACAGCGCACACCAGTACATGCATTTATTGCAGCTTATAAAACTTCAGAAATAATAAACTTAGAGCAGGGAGTAAATGTTCTTCCAGTTCTCTTCTTACTATGTAAATTAGGTTTACAATGCTTGACAACAAGTTAGAATAAAGTAGGCACCACATTACGTCCAGACTTCCAGATTTTATTCTTGAGATAAGATCTAAATGATACTTCAGAACAACTTTAGCAGTAAGTTCTTCACCAAAACTATCCTAAGCTATATTAGTAACTAGCTGTATTACTAATTAGCCTGTCATGACAGATTAGTAGACAGTCTTCTGGTTCTTAAAGCACTTTTTCACCATTATTCTGCCTGCATCAAACTTACAGGTAAATCTGCATTTCTCAGGAATAACACTCTGGGAGTAATTTTATAATTAAGGTTGTGAAATATGGCAGAAACAGATGACCCATGGACCTAATAAGAACACCATTAATTCTAACCCCTTAAATGGAGGATTAGAGTTTCTTAATTATACTCTCAGCAGGCCCAGCCTCTTGAAGATTTTTTCTTTTGTTAAATTCCAATATTATGTTCCTTACTTGGACACACTGTCAAAGGTTCCCTGACTTCGTTGTGAAAACCCACACCAACTTGTGTCACCACTGATTAGTATCCCTTCCTGTTGAAATATTCCTAAATATGGTAAAAAGAAGGTTCAGAAAATGAAAACTATTTGGGCTTCATCCAGAGATTTGCACTCTTTGACAATGACAATGGCTTACCTCCTCAAATACATGGGCAGCTTAAAGCATTCTTTAATATTATTAATTTAATAGCAGTCTTAAACAACATTCTTTTGCCAACCACACCTAAAAAAAAAAAAAAAGAGGTGCATCCCTCAAAATCTCTGTACAAGGTTGACTCTAAACAGTAAGCTGGACGACAGCAGCAACATGCTAACAGGACTAGCCAAATGCTGCTAACTGGTCAGACAAACTGAAAAAAATTCTCCTGCACTTAAGCGATACTTATGCTCCTCAAAACAATGGAAAACAATTTAGTTCCAGATATGTTCTCTGCAATCCATCATCCTAAATGGTTCCAAAGTAATATCCAACTGTTCTACAATACTGAGCAGCTGTCCAGTAGACAAGAATGCACAGCTATCACAGCAGTACTATCAATGTCTGAATTCATATGAAATTAAGAATAGCTTCTGACTGCTTTTCTGCTTCAGGAATCTGATTTTCAATAGAAAACTTTCTTGCTGGACAAGAACAAAAGCAGAGCACTCAATTTTCACTCTGAGAAAAGAATTGAAAAATAACACTATGGCTTGACAACTTTTGGAAGTTTCCTGACAACATGAGAGCTTACTCTACAGATGATGTTATCTTGTGAAGCCTGCCAAGAAATTCATCCAGATAATAGCACATTCCCAAGGGCCCTCGGAGAAGAAGAGCCTAGGGACACTTTCTGGGAAATTTCACCATTCCCATCTCCCTGCCACAAATCCCGTTAAGTGATAGATAAAGGTACCAGGCTCCTGAAAGTAGGCTGTCACCAACTGAACAGCCTGCTGCTCCTCAGGTCTCCCCAGGACATCATGAAAGAGGTCAAAAGAAAGAAACTGTGTTTACCAGTGAAAATTAGCCTATTGCCCACTATCTGCTTTTCCAATAACAATTTGGGATTGAGTGGTTATTTCCCTCTCCTCATACACTTAACAGAATAACCTTTCTGAAAAATACTAACTGGTGGTCGTATTAGGCAAGCACAGTAGGTAAGGTGTTGGCATCCTCTGCACACAGAAAACAGGAAATAAACCACTGAAGTAGCCACTGAGTGCTACTGCCCTGCATTGTGAGACTCACAGTGCTGACAAGCACATCCACTGGACAGAGCTCTAGAGAAGTCCATTCAAGCAGTCTGAGCTTCCCTGCCAGCCAGCAGCCTTAGGAAGTAAAAAAAGTGAACATCTGCCAGAACCTGAGCCTATCACTTTTTAATCTTATTAGTTCAAATCATTCTCACAGACATTATCACCAATGTTTCAATCCTCTAATGGTCCATGGAAAACTGGCAAGCAGTACAATCTCTTCCTCACTTTCAACCGCCAAATTACATTAGAACAGCAGAACAATTAGGAAGAATTATTTACCGCTTTCCAAAATAACTCAGTCAACTCTGCTACCAACAAAATCATTAACTAAAGTGCAGGTTAAAAGTGTTCTTAACAGTGCAAAATGAGAAGAGCAAGCTATGCCTTATTAAGATGCAACAGACAAAGAATTTCTGAGAACATACATACATACACACATACATACAGAATTCATGTCACAGTAATTTGTTTATGCACTAATCCTTTCCTCTGAAAAGACACATACTTTTCAGACACTTTTGAGGTTTTTGTTTGTTTTCTTTAAGAGCTGGAAGAACTAAATCTGAGCCAAGACTTCTAAAGTTGGCTAAATCTTAAGAAACAATGTATTGATGTAGTTGAAAGTTACAAAGAAATTGGTTTCAAGAAACCTATAGAGTTTCAAGAAACCTGCTGTAAGAAAATAATGGGAAGGCAGGCGGGGGAAGTGGGATACTTAGCCACATTACCTGATTCCCCAGACAAAACTTTTATCACTCAAAGTAAAACAGATGTCAGCAGCAGGATGAAGACAAACCATATTACACAATCACAAATCAGACATACAAAACTAATTTTTAACTGCCTATACGTCATTTTACCTTCAGTTTGGACACATCAGCATTAAGCACAATTTTTGTCAAGTAAAAGCCACACATTTCTTCTCCATCTAGTCTGGTCTCGGAAGAAGCAATTTGGGCATGACACCTGATCACAGATCGTCAAGTTCTACTTGAAAGAAAAAAAGAAAGCTCCCACAGGAATACACTTTAAAGCACCAAATACAAAACGCTTTGACGATTTTCTCATGCCTGTCTGTGAAGCAACTGTAGACGGTGCTTTCTACTGTTCATCCTTTCAGCAACACTCCAGCGCGGACCTTTCTCACTACTTGTTTTGCTGTGCTGGGTCGGCCGGCCCGTCCCCCACGGG